TCAACCGCCGCTACGTCGATGACTGGTCCCGTCGCTTCCCGTGGTTGCGCCTGCATCGTATGAAGAATAGACGCCCGTCACTGAAGTGCGCGATATGCCTGAAGTACGGTGACGTTTTCAGCAATACAAAATACGGGAGGAAAAGCGAGGGCATACACGACCTGCAGGTCGGCAGCATCCGCACTCATCTCAGAATCCGAGCGCACAAGGACGCTCTTGTGGCGAAAGAAGACAAGGAGCGGGAGCGCAATCGCCAGCGCACCCTCGACCGGTGGCAGGGGACAGGCACTTCAACGAAGCACCTGATTCGGTGCCTCCACATCGCCCTCTTCGTCTGCAAGGCGGATGCGCCGATCGCCATGTTCATCGCGCTCTGCTTCTTCCTCGCTCATGAGGGACTGCCAGATCTCCCGCCAGGAGGGGCGTACGGAACCTACTATACCGAGTAAGTTGTTTTAGCCTGCCCCTTTGAACAGTTCTCGGTTGTTTATCTTGCTTTCCACATGCATCGAAATATTTCTTCATCTTACATAATGAATACTAACTGGGTTTGATGTTGGCCCCCCTGCGCCACACTCCCCACAGCTACGGATTCAAGGAGTGCTTGAAGGCTACCTCACAGTACGTTCACGACCGCCAGGTGGAGCACATCCGAGCCTCCACGTTTGTCAGCATCTCAATCGATGAAAGCACGGATAGGGTGCATGGCAAGCACCTTATCTTGTATGGTACTTTCTTCAAGGGGTTGGCTGTCGTGACAGAGTTCGTCACGCTCCTGACCGTCGACCGCACCGACGCGGCTTCCCTCACCGCCGTTCTTGTGCACTACCTCCGGTCTATCAAGCTGGATCTGCAGAGGATCGTCGGTGTTGCCACCGACGGAGCCTCCGTCATGACTGGCGAGAGGACGGGGGTGGTGGCCTGTCTTCGTGCGCGGATTGAACATCTCTTTTCCGCTCACTGCATTGCTTACAGGTCGGTTTGCTGACATGGTTCAAACACTCAAATCCCCTTGATGCCCATGCATCCTATGTTTACATTCCATCTCCTTCTTTCCTCCCGCCTAATCACAGGGATTTGTTGGCGGCGAAGGATGCGGCGAACCTAAACCCGGCGCTACAGATCGTCGACATCGTCATCCGTGGCTTCGCCAAGTTCGTCGGGCGCTCGAACGTACAGCACTCGCGTTTCATGAACCTGCAGATGGTTTTCTGCTTCACCAACCTTGAAGCCCAGGGGATATACGCCATCCGCTGGCTTGCAAGAGGTTAAGCAGTGCGCCGCTTCGCGGATGTGCTCCCTGCGGCGACCGTCCTGCTTCGAGAAGCCGGGAGCCACCTCTACGACATCGTGACGTCCTTCAAGTTCCAGTACCCCCTCTACTTCCTCGCCGATGTCCTGGCCAACCACCTCAACCTCCAGTTTCAACAAAGGCAGGTAAGTGGTCTTCAGAGGAACCCTTTTTCATGCTACTGATACTCTACTGTTGCTGTGTTTAAACTCAACGTCAAGCCGTGCACATGTTTAGCCATAACTGGTTATCTCTGTGCACATGATCCTATTGCCTCCCCTGTTGGCAGGTGGACATCACGGTCATCGCTGCAGTAGTGGCGAACACGTGCAGCCGCATTCAGAGCTGCTACATCAACTGTGTTGATGGTCTTCAGTTCGGCAACGGTGACAGCGAGCTCCTCGGGGCGTTTCTCGACTGCCATGGCTCTGCAGACAAGAGGCAGCACCGGGTATCAGACCGATGGAAACCCCCAGTCCTTCGTCTACACTCTCCATGAGCGACAGCTGGACGGTGATGAGACGGGCAGTGACTTGGCGTCATGCAACGTCATTGCACGGAAGTACGCTAGTGATCTAGTCATCGGCATCAACGGCCGCTTCAACAACCTCTACAACCTTGACGGCACGAAGCTCTTCAAGGTGAAGGCCTACCTCAACAACGACGACCTGCGCATGGCCCGCTTCAGGCAGTGGCTGAGGCAGCTGGCCGGACTCTTCAGGAACAAGCTCCCTGGTAAGTTGTGTGCTCAGTACATGTGTGTTCACCATGTGAGTTTGCCCAATGTGTTTGCACCTAAAGCACCCATGTCTCACAATCCCCTCTGTTGTTTACTCCTCGTTGTCCCCCTGCTGGTTTCGACTACCAGAAGGCTGTGAGGGAGCTGTGGATGTTCACCAGCACCATGGCCTCGCAGTACAAGGACGACGACTTCTACACCGCACTGACCCTCACCCTCGACAACGACTGGCAGCGAGGCTACCCCAACATCCTGAGGCTGTGGCAGGCGGTGGCAGTGCTGCCTCTCAGCACTGTCGAGTGCGAGCGTGGGTTCTCTAAACAGAACCTAATCAAGACCTGGGGCCGGGGTAGCCTTGGGGATGACCGCTTGGGTGACTTGATCCGATGCAACTTGCTGGAGTACCAGGTGGACTGGTACGCTGTCATGGATATCTTCCTTGCAGAGAGGCACCGTCGCCCCACCCGTGACCTTCATGGGGTGAATCCGACCCCTGCTGCACCTGCTGAGCCCTAGGGAGAGAATCAGCCTCTGGATTAGCCAGTTGTGGTTGAGTAGGATGGCTTGTATAGCCGCAGCTAGGGTACATTACTGTTGCATGCTGACATCTAAGTAGCTGTAGGTAGGCTAGCTTAATGAAAGTATGTAGTCGTAGGTAGGAAGGCCATGTAGAGATAACTGTGCATGTTAACTGCAATATTAAACTTCCCTTGCAATTATTCAGCTTCCACCAGAGCTGAGCTCACTGGTTCCCTTGCGTTTATAGAATTCTCAAAACCCATTTTCACCTCACTGGGTCAGATGATCTCCCATCTCTCCACGGACGATCTGCATTCGTGCAGCTTCCACCATTCCTCACTGTTGAGGCGCCTAAAACAAACATTCCCTCCCCCCAGCTTTCACCACATACACTCCCCTGCATTCATTCCTACACCGTAAGAAAGCGTTCCCCCTTTTGGTCCCCCAGCGTTTCTCTTGTTGGTGCTCTTGCTGCTCATGTTGCTGTTGCTGCCATTGCTCCTGTTCCTCCTGTTGTGCCTGTTGCTGCTATTGCTGCTGTTGCTACTGAAGGTGCTTTCAAGCCTTTGCTTCCTTTTGGCCGTGCTGATGCTGCTGGTCGTGCAGGTGCTTGTGCTGGTGATGTTGCTGTTGCTGCTGGTCGTGCTGCTGCTGACAGTACTCGTGCTGATGCAGCTGCTGGTCGTGATTTTTTGCGTGGTAATGCTGCTGATGCTGTTAACACTACTGCTGATGCTGTTAACACTGGTGCTGCTGCTGGTCGTGCTGCTGCTGTGGCAAGAGCTGATGCGCCTACTGGTTGTACTGTTGTGGGCAGCAATGCTGTTGAGCATGCTGCTGCTGATCGTATTGCTGCTTCAGGTGCTGGTCGTGCTGGTGCAGATGGTGCTGGTGCTGCTGATCGTTCTGTTACTCATGCCGGTAGTGCTGATGCTGATACAGCTACTGCTGCTGACGCTTCAAACACTGGTGCTGCTGCTCCTGATCGTCCTGTTGCTCGAGCTGGTAGTGCTGGCAGTGACACAGCCACTGTTACTGATGCTGCTGGTACTGCTGTTGGTGGTCTTGTTGCTGTTGCTGTTGCTGGTAATGCTGATGGTGATGCAGCTACTGTTGCTGATGCTGCTGGTGGTACTGCTGGCGGTGGTGCTCTTGCGGTTGCCGCTAGTGGTACTGCTATTGCTGCTGGTCGTGCTGTGGCTGATGCTGCTGGTACTGCTGTTGCTGGTCTTTTTGCTGCTGCTGGTGCTGCTAGTGCTGATGGTGACACAGCTACTGTTGCTGATGGTGCTGGTGGTACTGCTGCTGGTCGCGCTGATGCTGCTGTTGCTGCTGACGCTGCTAACACTGGTGCTACTACACGTGATGGTAAAACTGCTGTTGCTGCCCCTGCTCCTCCTGGTGCTGCTGCTGGTGCTGTTGCTGCTGCTGCTGCTGCTGTTGCTGCTGTTGCTGCTGTTGCTGCTGCTGCTTTTCCTGCTGCTGCTGCTGTTGCTATTGCTGCTGCTGCTGCTGCAGGTGCCTTATAAGGTTTGTGTAGCTTCAGTCGTCGTATGGATGCTGATGGTGCTGCGATGGCCGATGGTGGTGGTGGTGGTGGTGGTGCTGCTGCTGCTGCTGCTGCAGGTGGCTTATAAGGCCTGCGTCGCTTCAGTCGTGGTACGGCTGCTGCTGTTGCTGCAATTGCTTGTGGTGGTGCTGCTGCTCCTGCAACCCCTGGTGCTGGTGGTCCTGCTACAGGTGCTGATGGTCCTGCAACAGGTGCTGATGGTCCTGCTACAGGTACTGATGGTCCTGCTACAGGTGCTGATGGTCCTGCAACAGGTGCTGATGGTCCTGCTACAGGTACTGATGGTCCTGCTACAGGTGCTGCCAGTGTTTGTGGTGTGGCGGCTGCTGCTGCTGCCGCCGCTGGTGCTGTCAGTGCTGGTGGCGATGCAACCCCTCGCCCCCATCCTGCTTGAGTTGACTCAAAAGCAAGTCCTTCACACCCCCTCCCCCCCATCCTGCTCTTCCTCCTCTCCTCTCCCTCTTGTAAGTCCACCTGCTGCTTGTATGCCTGCCTGCGTTTGGAAGACGCTCGAGACGAAGCTAGTAACGAGGATGTTTCTAGTGCCAGGCTTAGTAGGAGATGGTAAGTCCTCCACCACCCCTCATCCCCAACCTGCTCTTCCTCCTCTCCCCCCTGTAAGTCTACCCGCTGCTTGTGCCAGGCGTAATAGGAGATGGTAAGGCCCCCACAGAAGCTTCATCCTCGTATTCCAGAGCGGGAAGCTACCCATTGAGCTATCTAGGGCAGAGTAGTTGCTTGCACCACCGTTGCGAGTTGGTAAGCCCTTAACAAAACCCTCTTCCTCCTCCCACTCCTCTCACTCCTCCTCACTCCTCCCACTCCTCCCACTCTTCTCACTCCTCACTCCTCCCACTCCTCCCACTCCTCCCTCTCCTCACTACTCCTCACTCCTCTCACTTGTCTCACTCCTTTCAATCCTCACTCGTCCTCTCACTTCTCCCCTAAGTCCCTCACACACCCCTTGTCCGTCCTCTCCCTCCTCTCGGCCTGTATGCATTCTCCATTGCACTCCTGCAGCTTCCACCACACCCGTTCACTGCTCGTCCCATTCACCACTCCTCCATTCCGCCCCTGCTGCTGCCGCTGATAATCCTGGTGGTGGTGGGTGCGGAGCCCAAAAATTATTACTGCTGCTGGTGCGTCTTGTGCTCTCGCTGCTGCTACTGGCAAAACCATGTTGATTGTGGTGCTGTTGCTGCTGTTGCTGGTGCTGGTGCTGGTGCTGGTGCTGGTGCTGTTGTTGCTGTTGCTGCTGCTGTTACTGGTGGCACTGTTGCCATTGCTCCTGTTGGTGCTCTTGTTGCTGTTGCTGTTGCTGCTATTGCTCCTGAAAGTGCCTTGAGATGCTTGCTTCCCTTTGGCCGTGCTGGTGGTGCTGTTGCTGCTGGTGGTGCTGTTGCTGCTGGTGGTGCTGGTCGGGCTGGTGTTGGTAATACTGTTACTGGTGGCGCTGCTGGTACAGCTGTTGCTGCTAGTGCTGCTGCTGGTACTGCAGTTGCTGCTCGTGCTGCTGCTGCTGCTGTTACTGCTTGTGTTGCCGTTGCTGGTACTGCTGTTGCTGCTCGTGCTGCTGCTGGTACTGCTTTTGCTGCTGGTGTTGCAGTTGCTGGTGCTGATCGTTCCATTGGTAATGCAGCTGTTGCTGCTGTTGATACTGCTAACACTGGTGCTACTACAGGTGCCGGTAATACTGCTGTTGCTGCCCCTGCTGCTAACACTGGTGCTACTACAGGTGCCGGTAATGCCACTGTTGCTGCCCCTGCTCCTGCTGCTGGTGCTGTTATTGTTGTTGCTACTGGTGGCGCTGCTGCTGTTGCTGATGGTTCTGCTGTTTTTGCTGCTGCTGCTGTTGCTGCTGCTGCTGCAGGTGCCTTATAAGGTTTGCGTCGCTTCGGTCGTGGTGCGGCTGCTGCTGGTGCTGCGATCGCCGGTGGTGGTGCTGCTGCTCCTGCTACCGCTGGTGCTGCTGGTGGTACTGCTGTTGCTGCTTGTGCTGCTGCTGCTTCTGCTGCAGCTGCTGTTGGTTCTGCTGCTGCTGTTGCTGCTGCTGCTGCTGCTGCAACTGCCTTATGAGGTTTGCGTTGTTTCGGTCGTGCTGAGATTGCCGCTGGTGCTGCTGCTGTTCCTGCTACTGCTGGTGCTTCTGCTGCTGCCACTGGCGCTCCTGCTGCTGCTGCTGCTGGTGACAGTGCTGGTGCTGACAGTGCTGGTGTTGATGGGAAAGCATGCAGCCGGCGTTGCTGGTACGCAGTTCGCCCCCCTGCCCTTGTTTCCCCTATTTCATCAGTTGGTGCTACTGCTACCCCTGGTGCTGCTGCTGCTGCGACTGGTGGTGGTGGTGCTGCTGCTACTGCTGGTGCTGTCAGTGCAGGTGTCGATGGGGAACCATGCTGCTGGCGTGGCTGGAAAGTCCTTGAATTTGCAGGGTATTTTTTAGAATTCTCAAAAATACCCTGGTGGCGATGGGGAACCATGCTGCTGGCGTGGCTGGAAAGCAGTTCGCCCCCCTGCCCTTGTTTCCCCTCTTTCATCAGTTGCTGCTGCTGCTACCCCTGGTGCTGTCAGTGCTGTCAGTGCTGATGGCGGTGGGGAAATATGCCGCTGGCGTTGATGGTAGAAAGTTCTCCCCCTTGCCCTGGTTTCCCCTCCTTCATCAGTTTGAGCTGCTGCATTGGGTGCTGCTCGTGCTGCCACATTGGGTGCTGCTCGTGCTGCTACATTGGGTGCTGCTCGTGCTGCCACATTGGGTGCTGCTCGTGCTGCTACATTGGGAGCTGCTCGTGCTGCCACATTGGGTGCTGCTCGTGCTGCTATAGGTGCTGATAATATTCGTGGTGTGGCGGTTGCTGGTGCTGCTACCACGGGCGATGAGAAAATATGCCGCCGCCGAGGCTGAAAAGCCCCTTCTTCCCTTTCTCCTTTCCCTCCGCCTCCTGTCCTCCCCTCCTCTCCCCATATTCCCCTGCCCCTTCCCTCCTCTCCCCATATTCCTCTGTCTCTCCCCCCCTCTCCCCAGTAACCTCGATCTCTCCTCCCTTCTCCCCATTCCCCCCCGGCTTCTCCCTCCTCTCTCCATCTCCCCCTATCTCTCCCCTCCTCGTCTGCGAATCTAACCCTTCGTCCCTTTTTCGAATCAGCAGCGTTCTCAATCCCTCCCCTTAACCCTTCGTCTCTCCTCTTTCCTCCTCTCCCTTCCTCCTCCCTGTCCATCCGACTCCCCCTCTCACCCCCCCTCCCCAACCCTGATCCCTGTCCTTAAACCCTCCTCTCCCCACTCACCCTCCCTCCTCTCCCCTCCTCTCTCCAATCCCTGCTCCCTGCCCTTATACCCGCCTCTCCCCCCTCCGCCCTCCCTCCCCTTCTCCCCTCCTCTCTCCCATTGATGCTTCCCCATCCGCCCACCTCTCCACCCACCTCTCCCCCGTCCCCTCTCCCTACCCTTCTCCCATCACTAGCAACACCAACACCAGAACCAGCACCAACAGCAGCAGCAGCACCACCGCCAATACCACCACTAGCACCACCAGCACTACCGCCCCTCCCCTTGCCTTCGCTGTCACTGCTGCTGCTGACGCTGATGATGCCAACTCCCCTGTTCCCACCGTCATCACCTCTACCACCACCATCACCCCTACCACCACCATCACCCCTACCACCACCATCACCCCTACCACCACCATCACCCCTACCACCATCACCCCTACCATGCCCCCCACCACCATCACCCCTATCACTGCCCCCACCCTTGTATCTCCTACCCCAGTACCCCCTACCCTGCTGCCCCAACCTCGATTGCCCGAGCCCCTGTTGCCCCCACCCCTGCTGTCCCTGCCCCTGTTGCCCTCACCCTTGGAGCCCCCTCCACCGTACCCCCCATCATCATACCCCCCACTACAGTATCCTTCCCCCCTGGATGCTTCCTCCCCACCTGCTGCTGCGTCTCTACCCCTAGCTGCTGCTCCTGATGCTTCACCCCTAGCTGCTGCTGCTGCTGCTTCCCCCCCTGCTGCTTCACTCCTTGTTGCTTCCCCCCTGCTGCTTCACCCGGTGCTGCTTCCCCCCTTGCTGCTTCACCCCATGCTTCTGCTGCTTCGCCCCTCGCTGCTGCTCTGCCTCGAGGAGGCAAAGCATGCAGTGAAGGATTATAAGGATTATAAGAAGCATAAGGAGCATAAGACGGAGAATAAGAAGGAGACGTGGGAGAATAAGAGGGAGACGTAGGGGAATAACAAGGATAGGTAGGAGAATCAGAGGGAGAAGTGGGAGAATAAGAGGGAGATGTAAGACCATAGGAAGGAGAAGAAGGAGAAGAAGGAGAATAAGGAGAATAAGGAGAGTTGGGAGTGTGGCGAGAATAACGAGGAGAAAGAGGGGGGGAATAAGGATGAGGAGGGGTAACAGGAGAACGAGGAAGAGGGGAGTGCATAGACGAGGTATGATGAACGGATGGGGGGTAACGAGAGGTATGGAAGGATGAGATTTGGTGAAGGGATGTAGAGTGCGGTGCAGTATGGTGAAAAGAGATGTGGCGAGAGGGGAGGTGGCGAGCGGGGGTGTGGTGAGAAGCAGTATGGTGAGAAGCAGTATGGTGAGAAGCAGTATGGTGAGAAGGGGTGTGGTGAAGAGCGGTCGCCAGTCGTGCCCGTTGCACTAAGTCACTCATTGATAACCCTCCAACCAGTGCAGTCCCACTCCCTCCGCTCTCAACTCCTCCCCTCTCACTCCCTCCCCTGTCAACTCCTCCCCTCTCACTCCCTCCCCTGTCTACTCCTCCCCTCTCACTCCCTCCCCTGTCTACTCCTCCCCTCTCACCAGTACCAGCACCAGCACCAGCTCTGACTGCACCAGCACTAGCACCAGCGCTAGCGCCCACTGCACCCACACCAGCACCAGCACCAGCACCAGCACACCAGCACTGGCTGCACCACCCAAAGTGACGCCACCCCTTCCAAGTCCACGAACACTCCCAACCTTTCCTCCTCTCGCAACCTTCCCTTCCTCCCCACCTTTCCCCCCTTCCCTCTCTCCCCTACCTCCCCACCCCCCCCCTTGCCTGACTTTGCTCGCTTCCCTCCCTCCCCACCTCTCGACGCCCCTCCTCCCACTGACCCCCCCCGCCCTTCGGCCCCCTCATCACTTTTCCCCACCACCCCACCACCATAGCCTCATCCGACTCTTTCTCCCTTTTCCCCACCGCCCCACCTCCATCTCTTATTCTCTTCTTGCTTTCTTCCAAGCCCTCGCCTCCCGCCCTCCCTACCACGTTCAGACGCGTTGATCGTGCTCTCTCACTCCTCCACTCCTCTCTATAACCCTCTCCAAACCTACCCAACACCTCCTCCTCCTCTTCCCCCACCTCATCCTCATCCTCTTCCTCTTCCACTTCTTCCTCCTCTTCCTCCTCCTCCTCCACTCCCCACTCCCTCCACACCTCCCTCCCCTCACCCCATCTCTCCAACCCAGGAAAGTGACAATGATTCCTAGCAGGAGTTCCCAGCCCCGGGACGATCCGATGCCGGTCGCAGTACAGCATGAGGGGAAACCCATCGCCCCCATCCCCCCCAAACTCCCTGCTTAGTCCCCACACCCGCTGCGGCCTTCCTTCGCCTGCCCGCCGATTGCTTTTGGGCAGGTTTCTGGGCAGGCACTGCAAGTGGAAAACGGTCGGGCAGCGACGGCATGGCACGAGCTTGTTCTTTTCTGAGTCCAGATCCGCCCTTGATACATCACCAATCTTGCTACGGCCATTCCCAGAAGCAGCAGCAGCCTCTGCAGCAGCAGCAGCCGAGCCATTGCCACCATCACAAGCAGCAGCAGCAGTGGCGTCACCACCACCAGTAGCAGCACTCCCCACTGCAGCGGCAGCAGCAGCAGCAGCAGCAGAAGCACCATCCCCACCACCACTACCAGCAGCACCATCCCCACTGGTAGTACCAGAAAGAATCCCTCCCTTTCGACAACGCACACACGTGTGCCTGGGGCAGATAAAATTATCCTCTCCAGCTGCCCGACCGCGAATGCCATCAGCCACCCGCTTCACCTCTTCCGCCCTGACCATCTCCCTGTCCTCAGGTGAAACGCCAGGTGAAACACCAGGTGAAACTTCAGGTGAAATTTCAGGTGGCTCCAGGCGTTTCAGGCGCACGATCCATGGAGCCACGCAATCAGCATGAAAAAACTGCCCGCAAAAATCTGCTCCGCACATAAATACCTCTCCATCCCCTTCTCCCTTGCCCTCAGAAATTTCCTGTTTTCCTGCTTTGTGGCCTGAACCATCCCCCTCTCCTCCCTTGTGCCCTGAACCATCCCCCTCTCCTCCCTTGTGCCCTGAACCATCCCCCTCTCCTCCCTCCTCTGCTCCTGCACCTCCTACTCCTCCAACTCCTGCTCCAACCCCTCCCACTCCTCTTACTCCCCTTACGCCCACTCCCTCGCCACCTCTTGCTTCCACCCCTCCTACTCTTCCTCCCCCCTCTGCGCCATCCCCTCCCACTCCCCCGCCCCTCTCTGCTTCACTCTCTCCTACTCCTCCCCCCTCTAATCCTTCTCCTCCCACTCCTCCTTTCTCCTTTACTTCCAATCCTCCCACTCTTCCTTCCCCCTCAGCTCGCGCACCTCCTCCTCCTCCTCCTCCTTCCCCCACACTTCTCACCCTCCCAAGCCTGTAGCAGATAAAGCACACCTGCAGCCCGGACCTGCAATTAGGACACAGCCACGGGTTCTCAGCCCGCGCCTCAGGCTCGGTGATCCCGACTGTGGTGCACCGGTTGTCCCGAACCTCCTCAGCGTCGGCTCGGGAAGAAGGTTTGGGATGGAAGGACCGGAGGCAGGGCCCCTCGCACATGATCAGATTACCACCATTGTCGCATATGTAACAGATGTTCTCTGTTACATCGCATGTACAATCGTCCTGCCCCTCCCCCTGCCCCTCCCCCTGGCCCTCCCCCTGCCCCTCCCCCTGCCCCTCCCCATGCCCCTCCTGCTCTTCCATTTCCACTCTGTCCTCGTCATTCTGCTCCTCCTCACAGGACTGCTCATCATCCCACCCCCCCACAACCTCTAGCACGTCATCATCACTATCCCCATTGCCAACATCACCCCCTGCACCTGCTTCCTTCTCACCTCCTCCTCCTTCCTCCTCCTCCTCCTCCTCCTTCTCCTCCTCCTTCTCCTCCTCCTCCTCCGCCTCCTTCTCCGCCTCCTCCTCCTCCGCCTCCTCTCTCCCTCTCTTCCCCGACGCTCTCCTTCCTCCCACACCTGCTGTTCCCCTTCCCCTTTTCCGCCTACCACCCTCTCCCCTGCGCCCCCCTCTCCTCCGCCCCCTGCCATTTCCCCCCGTTATAACCCCATCCGGTACAATAAACCTCCTGTCTAGCTCCCTCTCATACTCCTCCTCGTCGTCCAAATCCTTTGAGCGCAATCCTTCGGCCCTTCTCCTCCGCTTCCCACCTCCCACTGTTGCCGCATCATCAGGCACAACAAACCTCCTATCTAACTCTCTCTCATACTCCTCCTCATCTATTTCTCTCCGCGTCCCTCCCCTGGCCTTCTCCCTTGCCTCCCCCCCCCTCCCCCCTGGTTTCCCCCGGCTCCCCCGTGCTTCGCCCCGGGTTCCCCCCTCCTCTTCCACCTCTGCTTCCCCCACATTTCCCCCTTCCTTTTCCGCCCCTCCTTCCCCACCATTCCCCACTTCTTCTTCCCCCTCTCCTTCCCCCACATTCCCCCTTCCATTTGCGCAGCTGCTTCCCCCCATCTCCCCCCTCCTTTTCCCCCCTCTGCTCCCCCCCCACTCCCCCCTTCCTTTTCCACCAGTGCTCCCCCCCCGTTCCCCCCGTTATCTTCCGCCTCTGGTGTCTCCCCGTTCCCCCCTACCTTTCCAACCTCAGCTTCCCCTTGGTTTCCCCCATCCCTTTCCCCCCTTTCTTCCCCCGAGGCCCCCCCTTCCTTTTCCGCCCATTCTTCCCCCCCGTTCCCCCTTTTGGCTTCTGCCTCTCCTTTCCCCCCGCTCCCCCCTTCCTTTACCACTGCTCCCCCCAAATCCCCCCCTCCCTTTTCCGCCACTGCTTCCCCCACCTCCCCTTGGGATATCAGCGTGGAATTCCCCGCGCCCCCGCCCCCGCCCCCCCGTTTCGCCGCTTTTCCCGTCGCCAGAGTCTCAGCATGGTTCTCCCCAGAGCCCGTGTTGAGCCCTCTCTCACGTTTTTGCTGCGCATAGCGACCATTTTAAAAAGGGGAAGGAATGTGACGATTTGCGCGCGGACACGGGTGTGATACATTTCAAGACTGGCAGGCTAGTGCCGTCTGGTACGGGGCAAGGGAGGCAGGTGCGGGGCAGGCGCGGGGCAAGGGGGACAGGCGCGGGGCAAGGGGACATGCGCGGGGCAAGGGGGACAGGCGCGGGGCAATGGGGGCAGGCGCGGGGCAAGGGGTACGGGCGAGGGGCAAGGGTGTGCTACCAAGATAGGAAGACGAAACGACGAGACGAAACCGTAGCGAGATAACCAGAAAGGTTAGACTTTGGGAGGAGAGCTTCACGATGGGAAGGGACGCTATGACAACCCAAAACTGGGTCCAGAAAAACCAAAACGTGCGACGGAAAAAGAAAAGAAGAAAAAAAAAACCCAAAAATGGGTCCAATCGAGCTGGGAGGGAGAGACAGGAGGAATGGACTTTTCAGTCGGCTCAAAAGGATGGACGGACATACCGAGATTCGTTGCGATCGTCGCGGGGCCCTTCCATCAGGGCCGTCCATCGGATCCTCCCGTCAGATCCCTCCGTCAGATCCTTCCGCCACTTGACTTCAGTCACGAGGATCTTCCGTCAGATTTTCCGTCAGATCCGTCCGTCAGATCCTTCCGTCAGAGAGCCCATCCGTCACGGGACAAGACGGGAAGACGGCGACGGAGGAACAGCGACGGAGGAAGAGCGACGGAGGAAGAGCGACGGAGGAAGAGCGACGGAGGAACGGTGAAGGAACCGCGTTACTCTGGCTGATGCAATGAGCGCGTAAGGTTGACGGGGGGGAGGGTAGTTACGCTCCACTGTGGACATTTAAGCCTAAGTACAGAATGCGTCCAGCCCCCGACCAACCTAAGTCCGTAACCTCGATTGGAGCGACGCTAACGGTCGGGACAGCGTAACCAAACGGCTGATGCAGTGACTTTTGAGTCGACTCAAAAGTCACCTCGACAGCGTAACCAAACGGCTGATGCAGTGAGGGAACTGGCACGTAGGCTCCGCGTGTAATTACACACGGATTTTTGTGTCGACTCAAAAATCGACTCATTACACACGGATGCAGTGAGGGAACAGGCACGTAGGCTCCGCCCGCTCTCTCACAGGGAGAGAAGAACCTAACGATCTCGGCGAAAATGCGTGCGAAGTAACTTGAACTGCGGAACTGTCTCGGAGATGTACGAAACGGCTCGCGGAACCGTCACCAGAGGAGGGAGGGGACTTGAAAAGCATGCGCCTTGAAAGACCCCCTTCAAAACCAGTGTCTACTGTGCGCGCGTCTGAATGGTAATGCGGTCGCCTTGGCAGCGCGAAATGAGAGTCGGAAATGCGAGCGGAAGATCTCATTTACCCTAAGCACCCTAAGTTGAGATTCGAGGGCGGAAGCTCTGATGGGAGTCGGGCTGTTGCTTGCTAGCTCGCTCCTAATAAAGCTTGTCATGTCTCGAGGAGCTGTTTTATAGGTGGCAAATGTTGGGTTGGGATGGCAACGATGCCGTCTCACCACATTGCACCACATTGAACCGCACGTCAACGCGGAAGAAAGTCGCCATAACGCTCTGCACCGACCTGACATTTGCGAAATCTGGACACGCTCTAATAAGGCGCTGCGTCCGGCGGCTAGTAGGCTAAGGAGCTCCTGCGACATCTTAAGAACACGCCAAACCGGTATAGGGAAATCGCCTAGCGAGAAACACGCTAACCCTATCCGGAACCGAAATGGCAAGACTATGTTGAACGTAATACGTCTCGCAACATAACAGAACTATCGGGGTTGTGGAACTAGAGAAGTTCAATGCGTCGTACTTGGACTTCCGTGTAATGAATAACACGAAACAAACGTTACATCGTAAGGCGTGTCATAAGCGTTCACTCCAGCACGGTAGATTCAGGTGGGTGCTTTTTGAAAGAGGTGAGATAAGAATATGAACTGGTTGGGTAAGGTTTTGATGGAAAAGCAAAAGCTTATGACAGCCCCTTCACCTACTCCCGGGCAAAGCACCGTGTTCGGTCCATGTGCGGAGCGGGTAACCAGACTCGGGCGCGCCGACATACTGGAGTGGGGGTAGTGGTGCTGGAGTGGACAAGGGGGCCCTGCCCAGTTCAGCTGAGTCGCCGCCCCTGCAGGTGCAGCAGCCGCCGCAGTCGCAGCCTTCGCAGCAGCCGCAGCAGCCGTCGCAGACGCGGCAGACGAGTGTCCTCCCGCCAGGGTGGCCCGGCGCTGGCGGTGGCCGGGCGCGTGGTGGTGTGCCGCGTGGTGGCTCTGGCGGCGGGCGTTGTCAGTACCAGATCCAGACCGGTCCTCGCCGCGGCTTCGTTTGCGGTAAGATCGGTCACTCCACTCCCCGCTGTTTTCGTCGCCTGGACGACCTCTTTCGTCAGCGTTTCGGCCCGTCGCCAGACCTCTCGGACTGGCACAGTTTGCTTAGTCGTCAGATTCAGATTTTTGATCTGGACATGGATGCCATTGTTTCCGCTCTGCATGTGATGTATGCTGATGACTCTAGTGTGCTTCCCGCTTATTACTCACTGTTGCCTAGTGTAGGTGTGCCTAGCTTAGCCTCCCCTGCTGCGTCAGGCGTAGGATCCCCTGCTTTGTGTAGTCTTGGTGCTTCCGCCGTCGTTCCGTCGCCAGACCCCTCGGCTTCGCTTTCCTTCACCTTGGACTCTGGCGCCTCTCGGTGTTTCTTCCGCGACTCCACCACCCTGACGCCGCTTCCTATTCCTGCTGCCGTTTCTCTTGCTGACCCCTCCGGCGGTCCGGTAGTCGCCCGCAGTTCCACCACCCTTCCCTGTCCGGCGGTTCCTTCGGGTTCTCTTACAGGTCTGCATATCCCCTCGTTCTCCAGGAACCTAGTTGGTGTCGGCTGCCTCCAGGACCTTGGCGTCACCACTACGTTCCCTGGCCACGAGCGGTATGCTGTCTGTACCGAGGCCGCCACTGGTGCCCCCCTGTCCACGTTCCCCCGGGACCCGGTGTCCGGCCTGTTCACTCTAGACACCGTGACCCCCCCGGCTGGAGCGCCCCCTCAGGTGGCTGCGTCTACCCAGGTTGCTGCTGCCTGCTCCTGTCGCTCCCTCACTCACCCGACCCTCCTGTGGCACCACCGCCTAGGTCACCCTGCGCTCCCGCGTCTGCGTCACATGTCCCAGCACGGTCTCGTCCTTGGTCTCCCAGGTTCGCTCCACGCGTTTCCTTCCTCTCCCGCCCCACCTTGCACGCCTTGTGTCGAGGGTCGGCTTCGCCGTGCCCCTCACTCCTCCTCGTTTCCCCCTACCGCCGCGCCGCTGCAGACCCTGCACCTGGACGTCTGGGGCCCCGCCCCCGTCCCTGGGCCGCGTCGAGAGCGCTACTTCCTTGTGCTTGTCGACGACTTCACTCGTTACACCACAGTCTTTCCCCTGGAGCGCAAGGCCGACGTGCCTGGCCCTCTCATCCCCTGGCTTGTCTCTACGCGTGTCCACCGCGGTCTCCCTGTCTTGCGTCTTCACTCAGACCGTGGTGGCGAGTTTGCCTCCAGTGTCCTTGGTCGCTTTTGTCGTGCGGAGGGCATCACCCAGACGTTCACCCTACCGGACTCCCCACAGCAGAATGGGGTCGCTGAGCGACGCATCGGTTTGGTCATGGAGGTCGCTCGCACCTCCATGATCCATGCCGGTGCACCCCATTTTCTGTGGCCGTTCGCTGTGCGCTACGCGTCTCACCAGCTTAACCTGTGGCCGCACCCTCAGCAGCCGCAGGTTTCGCCGACCCGTCTTTGGACTGGGTCTCCTGGTGACGCGTCTGCGTTCCACGTCTGGGGCTGCCTTGCTCACGTCCGTGCCTCCGGCACGGACAAGCTCACTGCCCGCACCCTTCCCTGCGTCTTCCTTGGTTTTCCCCTTGACGCGTCCGACTGGCACTTTTACCACCCACCGTCTCACCGCTTCTTTCACTCTCGTGACGTCACCTTTGACGAGTCCGTCTCCTACTACCGCCGCTTTCCCCACCGTGGTCCCCCGGTTACCCCCCCCCTGTTCCTCGTCACCCCTTCCTCGGTAGTCCCTGCCCCTCCTCCTCCTCCTCCCAGTCCCGCCCCCTCTGGTGTGTCCCACGTCACCCCCCTTCCGTCCGTGGACCCGGTTGAGGAGTCTTCTGCCTCTGGTGGCCCTCCTGTGCAGTCCTCGCCGGCCGCCCCTCCCCAGGTGTCCCCTCCCCAGTCCCCTCCTCCACCGCCACTACCGCTGCTGCAGCCGTCGTCGTTGCCGCCGCCGCCGCCGCCGCCGTCGCCTCCGCCGCCGCCGCTGCCGCCGTCGCAGCCCCCGTTCGCTGACTCTGGGGGTGCTCGTCCCGGTCGCCCTGGGGGTGGTCCCTCTGGGGGTGCTGGTGTGGAGAGTGCCGGTGGTAGCCGAGGAGCAGCTTGCGGTCCAGGTGTCGCCGTTGTGCCGCCGCAGCAGCGGTCCCCGCCGGTGTCCGCCCTTCGCCTGCTCGGCCTTCCGTCACCCGACCCTGCGTCTGTTCCTCCCCGGCCGTCTCCTCCTCTTCCTGTCTACGGCCCTGTTTTTCCTCCGCCGGACTCGTCCCCGGCTCGTCTCCCCCCTCCTTCCCCTCCTGTGTCCCCTCCCCTGTCTCCTGACCCGACTCCTCCGTCGCATGTCTGGTCTCACCGCCCCTCCCGTGCTCGTCCTGCCTCGCCTGTCTTGCGCTCCCACCCTATGTTGCTTCGTTCCCAGGCGTCTCGTCCTCCCCTTCTCCCGTCGCCTCCTCCGTCCTCCCTTCTTGTTGCGCCCCCCCCGCTGTCCGACTACCTTCGTGCCGCTCGTCCTCTCGTTCCTCGGGTCCTTGCCTCTCTCGTTATCGACCCGTCTGTTCCGGTCTCGTGCCTTGACGCTCTTGTCGCTGCTGTCGCTGACTTCGCCTCTACCCGCCGCCTTGACTACGCCACCGCTCTGGTCTCTGACCCTGCCTGTCCTCCGTCTGTCGGGGGTGCTCCTGCCCTTGGCAGTGACGTCCTGGAGGACCGCCAGTTCGAGCTTGCTTTCCTCTCCGAGGCTGCTCCCCATCTCTGTTCCATGCTGCTAGTCCCTGAGGGTGACCCAGACGCTTTCGACATCCCGACCCCTCGCACTTACGCTGAGGCGACTTCGGGACCCTGGGCCGCGCAGTGGATAGCTGCCATGGAGCAGGAGATGGCATCTTGGAGATCCACCGGCACCTTCGTCGACGCAGTTCCCCCACCTGGGGTGAACGTAGTCGATGGCCGCTGGCTCTTCAAGGTGAAGCGCCCTCCTGGAGAGCCGCCTGTCTTCAAGGCGCGCTATGTGGCTAGAGGCTTCAGTCAGCGCGAGGGGGTGGACTTCTTCCAGACTTTCGCTCCGACCCCGAAGATGACTACTCTTCGGGTTCTGTTACACCTAGCTGCTCAGCGTGACTACGAGCTTCACTCCCTCGACTTCTCCACTGCCTTCCTTCAGGGCAGCCTACACGAGCAGGTCTACCTGCGTCGCCCTCCGGGCTTTACTGGCACCTTCCCTCCTGGGACCCAGTGGCTCCTACAGCGCCCCGTCTACGGCCTGCGCCAGGCTCCCCGTGAGTGGCACGACACTCTCCGTGCTACGCTTGCTGACCTGCAGTTCTTTCCGTCTTCCGCAGACCCTTCACTCTTCGTTCGTGCTGGCCAGACTCCGTTCTACATCCTTGTTTACGTTGACGACCTGGTCCTTGCCACGGCAGACAGGGACGCACTGGCCTCCGTGAAGGCAGAGCTGCTGAAGAGACACACCTGCACTGACCTTGGAGAACTGCGCCGTTACCTTGGCTTGCAGATCTCCAGGGACAGAGCTGCGCGCACCATCACCCTGACTCAGTCACACTTGGTGCGCCAGGTCCTTCAGAGGTTCAGCCTTCAGTTCTCCTCTGCACAGCCCACCCCTCTGCCTGTAGACCACAGACTCTCCGCTCCAGTACCTGAGGAGTTGGTAGAGCCCAGCGGCCCCTACGCAGAGCTGGTGGGTTGCCTCATGTACCTGATGACTTGCACTCGTCCAGATCTCGCATACCCTCTCAGCATCCTGGCGCGCTTTGTGGCCACAGGCAGACACCGACCGCAGCACTGGTCTGCTGCTAAGAGGGTTCTGCGTTATCTTGCTAGTACATCGGGCATGGGGTTAGTGCTAGGAGGACGCAGGCCAGTGGTCCTTACTGGACACACAGACGCTTCGTGGGCAGACGACGCTGAGACACTCAGGTCTACCCAGGGCTACTGCTTCAGCCTTGGCTCAGGTGCCGTCTCGTGGAGAGCTACTCGCTCCTCGTCTGTTGCGCAGTCCAGCTATGAGGCTGAGATCTACGCTGGTGCCATGGCGGCACAGGAGCTCCGCTGGCTGACCTTCTTGCTCACTGACTTAGGTGAGCGGCCTAGCTCTGCCCCGGTCCTGTTCGCTGACAACAGGGCCATGATCCTCCTGTGTCAGGAGCCTCGACTCGAGGGCAGAGCGAAGCACATTCAGCTGCGGTACTTCCTCCTGCGTGAGCTACAGCAGCGACGTCAGGCTCGCGTAGTACACTTGGCCTCAGGTGCCAACACGGCTGATATCTTTACGAAGGCGCTTGCGCCTAAAGATCATCAGCGGCACTGTGTACAGCTTGGTCTAGTTCCTGTAGCCTCTCACTTGCTAGGACCTTGACTTTGTACTGTCCTTTATACGTATACTCAGACTGGACTTGTGTCCTCTCCCAGTGGCTGGACTAGTAGTGCCGCCCTGCTCTTGTTCTTGCCTTGTCTGTACTCCTTCTGACTGGTCTCTCAGACCCTTGTCTCAGAGGTTGGACTAGTAGTGCCGCCCTGAGCTGCTTGTTTAGGGAATTCCCCTATGCAGTCTAGGGGGTGTGTCAAACATCTGTATTTGTTATGTTTGTATAGACTGTATAGGGTTACCTCTTAGAGGGTACAACATTTAGGTTTATTTGTGTGTACTCTCACTTTACCATCATTCAATTCTAATTCTGATAGAAACTAGGTAACGCGGCGAGCTTGGCCTCTTCCATCAGCTCACGAAGGTACAGTCCTTTCTTGGTGGCTATGCATAGAGCTATATACTCTGCTTCAGTAGGGGAGTGCGCAAATAGCTCCTACTTACTCGATTGCCATGAGATAGGCCCGATGGGCTCTAGGCGGTAGACGTAACCGGTTCGCGATCGGCTGTTGTCGGGGTCGCCGACGTGATCAGCATCGACGTAGCCGATTAGCTTAGGCGATGCGTTCTTTGTCTTATGATAAGTTAGGCCGATCGTTGACGTCGAGACGAAATAGTGGAGCGCGCGATTAAGTTCGGCTAGGTGCTCTGCCTTGGGCCATTTGAGATAGGTGGCGAGTTGGCTGCCGAGTAGGATAGGTCCGGTCGACATGTTACAGCGGCGAAGAGGAGACAGCCCAAATTATGCTGGTAGTCATGTAGTCCGGCGGGCGCGAGTACAGTTGAGTCCGTCGTGTGACTCGGCGTGGTGTAGCGGTATGGGGTGGAGATCGCAGCCGGGGTGAGGTCGAACCTCTTAGCGATGACGTCAGCATACATTGAGGCGCTCAGAAAGATCGCCTCGTCTGCGTCTAGCACGTTCAAGCTGAGGTACTGGCTCACTGAAAGGGAGACTGTGGGCGTGAGGTCCCGCTGTAGCTCCCCTTCAAACCAGGCGGTGACGGCATCGGTCGAGCCTACATATAGCAGGTTGTCTACGTAGACGATCAGCAGTACGTAGGCGGCTCTCGTGTGAGCCGATACATACCCTGGTCGTACGGCAGTTGTAAGAACCTGATACAGATGAGCCGCAAGTGAAGATACTACTGCCAGAGCCGTGGGGCCTGCTTAATCCCGAAATGGGATTTCACAAGCTGGCAGACAAGCGTGGGGTCTTCGACGAACCCGTGTGGCTGCTCTACAAAGATCTCTGCGTCGACGGGCACGTACATGAACGCATTTGCCACATCGATCTGGCGTAGCGGCAGGCGATGCATGGCGGCGACTACGAGCAAGATTCGCAGGGACGTGTGTCGACTGACGGGCGCAAAGGTTTCTGTGAAGTCACGCCCGTACTGCTGGTCAAAGCCCCAAACGACCCAACGGGCCTTGAAGTGCTCGATCGTGCCATCTGCTTTGGTCTTCACTTTGAAGACCTATTTTCCTGAGAGGATTGTTTTGTCGTGTGCCTTTGCGACAGGGACCATTTGCCAGGTGTTGCGCTCGTGAAGCGCCTTCAGCTCCCTTTCCATTGCTTCGCACCATTTCTCTCTGTGCTCCCCCCCTAGAGCTTGCTTGACGGTCGTACGCTCGAGTGGAGGTGGCATCGAAGCTCCGTGGACTGCGGTGACGAGGCCAAGAATCTGAGGTCCGTTGGGTGTGAATTTGGGCAAGAGGTGATCCTCGGGATAGACTGCTTCGTCTCCCGCTTCTGGATTCGGTCGCCCTTCCCGTGGTACAACATGAACTCTTGGGTAGTGCAGTCGCACTCCAAATGAATCCCCTTCGCCATCAGTTGACTGACGCTCAGCAAGTTGTAGCCCAAGCCTTCCGCGATTAGTACTTTCGACATTTGTAGCACCACGTTAGTTTCTAGGGATTGTAGCTGAACAACTCCTTGCCTTTGTGTGCGCAGGTGCTGATTGTTGGCGACAGTGATGACGACTTCACGGCTGAGTTGTCGCTCACTTTGAATGAAGCGATCTGAAGAGCACATGTGTTGCCCACAGCAACTGTCCAAGAACCACGTATCTCGACCGGACGGCTCGCTTTGAGCGATGACAACGTATGTCGGGTTCGGCTTCAGCTGCTCTCGTCGAGGCGGCACGACTACTTTGTCTGGGTCGTAAGTCGGTGGGGATTTTGTGACGCAAGAGTCGGTTCTTGCCATGTAGCTGACGATGTTCCTTGTCTCTTGTACAGGTCGCGGTGCGGAGGGCGGCGGGTGCACTTGGGGTGAAGTGACTTGATTTCCTGAAGGGCGAAGCTGGCGCGGTGGGATCTGCTGCTGGTGTTGATTTTGACGAGGGCAGTTAACACGTATGTGTCCTGACGTGCGGCAAAGGTGACAAAACGACAGTATATAGTATCTTGCTTGTGGTCCTTGTCGACGATGCGCATAGAACGCAATCTCGAGTACGGCCTTTTTCTTGTGCCGCTCTTCATATAGGTCCATGTCCTGTTGTTCAGCGAGGAGTTCAGCACAAAGATGCATCTCCGAGATGCGACCGTGAGCGCGAAGAAGAGAGCGGGTCGTTCGCCACTGAGGACCAAGACCATTGAGGACGATGGTGACAAACGTATCTTCTGACATGCTGCCGCCGCTGCGAAGGAGCTTATCGCAGAGACTGTGGCACCGACTCATATACGCCATGGCTTTCTCGCCATGCTGCATCTGGACGGTTGTCAACTGAGCCATGAGGCGGCTCTGGTTTACGCTGTCATTTGCTTGATACATGCTCTTCAAGTGGTTGTACGCGAGTTCCGCTGAGTTTCCATAGCCACTGTAAGTTCTGATATTCTGTTGGTGACAGGTTCCGCATGAGAATGGTGTACGCCATCAGCGACTGATGCGTGTACTGCTCCTGGTCGCTTGTAGTACCATTGACTAGAAATGGCAGGTTCCCATCGAAGAATCCCAAGATCTAAGCTCCTTCTATCATGAGCTCGAAATTGAAGGACCAAGTACAGAAGTCCTTGCCGTTAAACGGGTATGATGTTTGCAGCTTGAGGATGTTTGCAAACTGAGCTTGTAGCTGAAGTGCATCGTTCGCTGTCGTGTTGTGTGCGGGTATCGATGCTGGAAGGCGATTCGGCATGAACGTGAAGGATGCCCATAAAGCTTGATAAGGTGCATAGATGGGTTGCTGATTCCCGTGCGCAAAGGACGAGCCATCCAGGCTCATAGGAGCCACTCTAATGTCGATGCCTCTGACGTTGTTGTTGTTGTTGTTGTTGTTGTTGTTGTTGTTGTTGTTGTTGTTGTTGTTGTTGTTGTTGTTGTTGTTGTTGTTGTTGTTGTTGTTGTTGTTGTTGTTGTTGTTGTTGTTGTTGTTGTTGTTGTTGTTGTTGTTGTTGTTGTTGTTGTTGTCGTTGTTGTTGCTGTTGACTGATTGCGCAGGTGCTGATGGTTGTTGCTGCTCATATGTCGACATGAAGGAGAAGAAACACTCCATCAAGCTTGGGTCGAAGCCGGTCGGAGGGGCCGCTTACTCAGTAGGTGCTCCCGGGGTTGTTTCTTGCGCAGGCGCCTCTTCAGCCTGTAGGCCAGAGACTGGGGGCATAGTAGGTGTTGAGTCGGGAGATCCAGTGGATGATCTTACTTCCTTCTGTGATGCCATATCTTGTAATCCTGAAGTGGATTTATGTGGAGATTGAATGATAGACTTGTAGAAGAACTGAGAATGCTTGTAACGAACTTAGTGGTAACCTAGTCTTCGACTAGCTCTCATACCATGTTGGGCTGAGATAAGTTCGTAGGATCTTTGCAAAGACTAAGTCCCCAGAGAGATGTTGTACTTGTGGAAGCGTGGTGTGAGACTTAATGAACCTCTTGCACTGGTATGTGAGAACAAAATAATTGATTAACACAAACAACACACAGGAATATATATAGTTATTCTATAATACAAGACAGTTACTACAGCTGTTGTTGCGCTACCGAGCGTATAGCGACTCGATGCCTTACAGTAGCGGTTACTGTGCAACTGAGCTGCCACGCAACCTTCATGCATAACCTCCAGGTGCAACTGCCACGCGCTTTCATTACATGCGCAACTGCCACGTGTAACCTCCGTTGACTTGCTGTACTCGTTGTTGACCACTCCACAGTATCACTTGAGTCTCGATACTACAGAAAAGAGTTACTTCTGCAATTCTTTGTTTCCAACAACTTCTACAAAGACAAACTCTTCAGCCTAGTCAGATCTGTTAATCTGGGAGGCAGGGATCAAAGACAAACTCTTCAGCCTAGTCAGATGTGCCTGCAACACCTAGTTCATTCAAGCAGGCAAGCTGAGCAGTAGAACCAGGCAGATGCTCTAGAGAAGAGCAATTGCTCAGAAAATGCTTCCGGAGCCTCGATAAAGCACCAATGGAATCCGGAAGAGAATTTAGCTTGGGCGCCTTAGATACATGTAAGGACGTCAGGTGCTCCAGCTCCACAATACTTGCTGGCAGCTCCTTCAACCCCTCAGCATCGTCGATCCTAAACTCTAGCATCTGTGGGAAGGCCGATCCAATGTTTTATGGGAGCTCCTTAAGCGTCTCAGCACCTAGAATCAAAGTGCGCAGCTCATTCAGGGAGGTCATGGCAAAGGGAAGCGTCGTGGCATTCTTGGCCAACATCAGCTCCAAATGCTTCAATCGAGGCAAGCTTCTACCAACCATCAGCCCATGACCAGAAGCAGCAACAATACTCAAGCATAGACCCGTAAGACTTGAAAAATTGGAGATGTCTGGCATACGGGTGACCTGGCGCCGACCCCCCCAGCTCAAGATCTCAAAAGAAGGTGGCAGAAATTCAGGAGGCTTGGTCAGCCTTTCACATTCACTTATCCGCAGTCATTTGAGCCTTGTTAGTCTATCTTGCCTCCTCGGTATTGAAGTGAGTTCCCAGCAAGAAGAGGCTGTCAGGACTTCTAGCTTGGTGAGACACGTAATGGATTCTGGTAGCTCCCTGATCCAGCTCCAAAAGATGTGCAGCTGCTGAAGGTTGCTAAGGTTCCCCATGCCCTCACGTAGCTTCTATAAACAGCCGGTCTCAATTTCAAGCCGTGTCAGGGAAGACAGTTGGGTGAACGAGGAAGGAAGTTGGTGCTGCTCGGAGCAGCAGCTCAGGTGCATATTCTGGAGATAATTCAGCATCCCAATATCTTCCGGAAGCATTAACTGCATCAAATTCTTGAAGCAACGTTTCTTAAGGACTGTAAGGTTGCAGAAGCCTGCTGGGAGATTGCGGAGCAGTTGGCAATCAGTTACCGTTAGTCAGTTACGCTGAAGAGCTACTAACAATGAAACCTCGTCATCGTGGAAGTAGTTCACCTTGATCAGCTACAACTGAGACCAGCCGTGAGATTCTTCAGTTGACCCTTTGGGATAGTCTCGAGGTGAGCCAGCAGTATAAGGCTCATATCGGAAGTCCCAAGGTGATAAGAATTGAGATAAAGACAAACGAGTATGATTGTATGGTTGAATAGGATAAGACTGCAACAGTAGAACTGTTGCACATATAAATGGGATTATAATGTGCTAGAAAATAAATAGAGGAAAGGTACTCAAGTGAGTAAAAGGGGACTTGTCAAGGGTGAGATGCTTGTGAAGAAGAGTGAGAGACTTACTTATGCGTGTCTTACAAAGTAGAGAAGATGTAGAATCTTGGGAGTGGTTCTTGATAGAGGAGGACTCGCACTCGGGAAAGGGTCTTGAGCTTGGGAGAAGACCACAAGCTTGAGAGGGGACCACAAACTTGGATGTGGTTGAAGAAGAAGGCCTTGTACCTGAAGAGTGAATGTGCCACAAGGTTGAGTGTTGAAGTGGAGGAGAGTCCACCTACACGCTTGTGGTTTGGTAATGCACCTTATACTCAAGTTGGGTATAAGATGTACTAGTGCTTGATTATTTCGCTAAACTAGGAACCTTGAGAGAGAACTTTGAGAGCATAAACTTATATGAAAGATGGTGTAGTACAAGCCTTATCATCCGTGATGGATACAAGGACATGCATGAGAGAGAGACCACTCATAGTAGTCTAGGAAGATAGGTAGCATGATAATACCATCTCTAAAGACATAGAACATGAATGCTAGCAAAGAGCCTTTGTAGTGGTGTGAACTTGAGGAGCTTGAAGAAGACTTGAAGGGGAGCTTGAAGAAGAGGAGCTTGGAGATGCATTGTTGGACTTTGAGAAACTTCTTGAGACTTTGAAGATGATTCTTGGTGAAGATGAATAGTGGCGGAGCATGTGATGGTTGTTGAGCCTTTGGTGACTTAGAGGTGTAGACCATGTAGTGTTGGAGAAAACTTGGATGAGTTGGAAAGGAAGGAAAGGAGGAGGAATGAAAGCTTTGTTGAGTTGGAAGGTGAGGAATATAAGGAATCATAAGATTATTGTGTGATGATGTAGCAACTTGGATGACTTGGCATAGGAAGGAAGGAGGGAATAAATTATGGGCATGTAGAGGTTGATGAGTAGGAAAAGGAGGAATGTGCTTGAGGCACATGTGAGGAGGATTATTGGTTGGAGTAGATGACTTGGAGAGTTTTTAATGAGTAGGAAGAGAGAGCACATGGAAAATGATGAAGAGTCGTGTGCCTTGAGGTGGGAGTTGGAGATGAATAGGAGGATTTGTTGGAAGCTTGGTTGAGGTGGACTAGGAATGATTATGACAGTTGGGGAAAATTAAGGAGTGGTTGGAAGGCCTTAGGTTGGAGGAGATGAACTGGAAAGGTTGGAAAGAAAATTTGGTAGATAGAGTAGGTTTGGTTGGTGGGAAATGGGTTGGGGTCGGTGAAGAATTGTAACGAGCGGTTTTGGAGGGGAAGGGGTTGGAGTGGCGAGAAAAAATGTGGCACGCGCGTCACGTGCCACTCAGAACACCCCCCCTCACTGCAAGCCCATACCCTCTAACCGGTACTGCTGCAACTACTTCAACTGCTTCATGAGTTGGTGTGTCAAATCTACATCATGTTTGCTGCTGCAACGAGTCCTGCCTGAACTCGGTTGTTGATGAAGGTGTCACGAGAAACCACCTTGGTGAGGAAGTCTGCCGCTTGCTCACTTTTGCGGCAGAAGAGAGGCTCGACGACTTTCTGCTCCACTAGCTCCCAAACGTAGTTGTACTGCGTGCCGATGTGCTTGGTTCTCCCATGGAAAACTAGATTCATGGTGAGGGCGATTGCGGATGTGTTGTCGATGAAGAGGGGAGTAGGATTTTCCTGTGAGAGGTCAAGCTTCTTCAAGAGACCTCTTATCCACGCTTCCTCTCGGGCTCCGTGTGTCACAGCCATGTACTCTGCCTCTGTAGATGATAGTGCCACACAGCCCTACTTCTTCAATGGCCGGGAGATGGCCGCTCCTCCAAGCATGAAGATGTATCCTCCTATGGACCAAACCTTGAGAGAACCTTCTCAGTGTACCTCTGCTGCAAGATGAAGAGGGAATTGGATGGGCGATCTCTCACAATGTTCATACCAAGGTAGTGGGAGGGCTCACTCATGTCTTTCATGATGAAGTCTTGGGTGAGCATACCTTTGATGCGTGTGAGGAGACTCAGTGATGCTGATACAAGGAGGATGTCATCCACATAGACTAGGAGCCAGAATGACTCCCCCTCACTTGTGTGTAGCAGGTACAATGCAGGGTCGAACAGTGACTTGGTGAAACCTTGGGACAGGAGTGCGACCTCAAGTGTGTGAAACCAGACTCGTGGTGCTTGCTTAAGCCCATAGAGAGACTCGGGCAATTTACAGACCTTGTTGGTACCATCGCCTCGGGCTGCTCCATGCAAATCTCTTCATCGAGCTTACCATACGAGAAGGCATTCTTCACATCCATTTGATGGATATGAATACCCTTCACTAAGGCCATCACCAAGAGGCACCTGAGTGTGGTGTACTTGGCCACAACTGAGAACATCTCATTGTAGTCCGAACCTGGAATCTGTGAGAAACCTTTTGCTACCAAGCGTGCCTTGTACCTGTCAAGGGTACCATCTCCCTTCTCTTTCACTCTATATGTCCACTTGACCTTCAGTGCTTTCTCACCAGGGGGGAGTAGTACCTTCACCCATGTGCCTTGTGCAAGGAGACTGTCTATCTCCTCTCTCTCTGCCTTTACCCACTTCTTTCTCTGAGCACCAGCCATTGCTTGCTTATGCGTGGATGGCTCAGGTGGGAGACAGCTGATGGCATGACATATGGCAGCTACCTTGCACTCCATGCAGTGAGACTTTGTGCACCTGGGTGTGACAGGGAAGATTGCACCAACTGCGATGTTCATATGCTGTACTGGCTTGCCCACTCTCTTAGGCTGCTCTGCATTCTCACTGACTCCTTGCTGACTCGTGTTGCCACTTGGGACGCTGGGTGGGGCGGGAGTTGGTGTTGTCACTAGAACAGGTCCCGCCACACGATCGGAGGGAGGAAGGGGATCTGCTGCAACTGGGAATGTCTGGAGACTTTCAGCGGGT